GCCCTCATTTTAGCTGAACTTGCACGGCTAGGGGTTAAAGGGAGACTTCTTCATTGGATCGCCTCTTACCTCACTGGACGTCAGGTCCGGGTTCGCGTTGAAGACTCTATATCTCCTGTTCATGAAATGAACCTCGGCACCCCTCAAGGTGGAGTCCTGAGTCCCACCTTGTTTAACACTCTCATGCACTCCAGTGCATCTCTCCCGTGGCCGACAGAAGTTGTTCACTCAGGATATGCCGACGATGTCCTCCTCCAACCCCCTGACTACCTCAGCATGCAGGAAGCCATTGATCTGGTCTCCAGAGAGTGTGATTCGCCTCCAAGCCCCTGACTACCTCAGCATGCAGGAAGCCATTGATCTGGTCTCCAGAGAGTGTGATTCACTTGGTTTCCTTCTTTCAATTGAGAAAATAAAAGCCATGTCGCACGGTCGTGTTGTACCTCCACCCCTTCTCTTATCGGGAACGCCCTTGGACTGGGTTACTGAGACAAAATACCTGGGTGTGTATGTAACTCGCACACGTTGTCAGATCCCTGAAGTCCGCTATCTTCGAGACATATGCTTTCGGCGTCTCGCTCCCCTCTCTACCATGTGCAGGGGTTCCCTTGGTGCCACCATCCCTGTACTTCTCACCATGTACAAGTCCTTTGTCCGTTCCTGTGTCGACTACGCCGCCCCTGCCCTCGTCAACATTAGTCGGACTACTGTTAACCGTCTCGAAGTTATCCAGAGGAAAGCTGCTCGTATCATCCTTGGGGCTCCTCAGTGAACACTCTCTACTTCTCTATATACCGGACTTGGTCTTTCCCCCTTACAGGATCGTGTCCAGGAGTTTTACCTAAAAACTACCTTTTCCATTCTACGGGATCCTCGGGGCAACTATGTCCAAGCCAACTTGACTCCTGCTGTCCGAGGCCGACCTCCATCTACAAGACAGTGGCGAGGGTCACTCATCCGAGCCCTTTAGGAACGTGACCTCCTGCCTGATATTGTTGTCACCCCTGCTGTTGGTTCCTCTCCTTCTCCCTGGCTGGATTTTCAACCTGAAGTGATTGCCCTAGGTGGACCGCTCCCGAAATCCCACGTGAACCCTGTTATTCTCTGTAAATACCACCTCTCCAGGATCGCCCACTGGTCCCCAGGTAGGGTCGTCCTCTACAGTACACTGATGGCTCTGTTGACCCCGCTACAGGTCGGGCCGAGGCTGGTGTCTATATCTCCCGTCCTGATGCCCCTGAGCCTATCAAACTTTCTCTCAGAGTTTCAGACGGGGCATCCTCGACTCAGGCTGAACTAATAGCCCTCCTTGCTGCCCTTCTTGCTGAGGAAGAAGCAGATGGTTTCTGCCCCTCCTTGCTTGTCTGCTGTGATTCCAGGCCTGCTCTCGACGGGATCGCATTTGGATCAGGCGAAAATAAGGACCTCATCCTCCGAATACGAGGGTTAACATCCACACTTCAGGATGCAGGCCGTCCTGTGACATTCCTATGGATACCCAGTCATGTCGGTATCTTGGGGAATGAGGCAGCAGATGGCCTTGCCAAGACTGGCTGCAACAAGGCCCCACCTGACTATATAGTTCCTCCAACACTTTTACAGCCTAGGACCTAAATTCGCCGAAAACAGAGAGAAGCTCGGAAGCAGCCATCCCCCTGGACTCCCCGCCTACCTGGTACGATGTCCTCCGTAAACTTCCTGACCTCTCGTATGCCTATGGGAAAGGGTCGCGGAAAAGGGACGTGATTGCTGCCCGTATCATCATTGGGTATGACTTTGCTCGGGAGATTGGTATCCCAGCATCCCCTGAGCAATGCTCTTGTGCATTATGCAAAAGACCCGACAGCCGCACCCTTATCCACTACCTCCTAAGATGTCCCCACACACAACGCTTCCGTAACGCCTGCTGGACCACCACTCCACGACCCCCTGACGGAGACACGATGATCCTCCCCATACTGGCCAGATATTATGTAAATAATATTGATAATGTGTTAAAGGAAAATCCTTCCTTCCTTAGGCTTAAGTAAGCCCCTTTATAATTGAAATTGAAATTGAATGAGTGTCATGCATAGCAGCTCTCACACAACACACCCAAGCAGGTACACTCGGAAACCATATTCTCTAGCCCACCTGGGTCGGTGCTGGAGGTTAGTATAGTGTCCTTTCTGGACGGTGGCCCACTCTAACTATCATGAGGCAACACACGCACGAACACACACAGTCATAGTACATCTGTATAGATGATATTATGTATAGATATTGTATATGGCATTTTATACTCTGCAATATCTTCATTATATATGACCACGAAGAAAAATTACCATAGGTTGTAGTTACGAAAGTATGAATGGAAATAAACACTTCCAAACAACCCAGTGAATCCACACAACGTTTACAGCGCTTCCACCGCCCCCCATCTATATCATTTATTTCCCATCATTCGCGTGACTATAAGATAAATCGTGTTTAATTTAACTACATAGTTCAAAAACCTTAAATTACATGTGGATCAGCCACTCCTCATTTGACACACTTATAGTGTAATACTTTGACCATCCCACCTGGGCACATGGAAGCCCACGGTAACTCTCACGGGGCAACATACGCACGAACACACAAGTTATGATATGAACCCTTCCAGGCTTCACTATCATTATCATGTTATGTTCATCGTGCTCTGTATCTTGGTAACTAGTCATAGTATCAATACATGACAGTGTTATTAGTATAATATTGTAACTTTTGCCCTACAGTTAGTGTTGTAAATCATGGACAGGAAGGATACATAAATTGTAATATCAAGTGTATGGTTCGCTCAAAGCCACCCCAAGTCAGACAACGCGTCACATAAAGTTACACTGTGTGTGTGTGTGTGTGTGTGTGTGTGTGTGTGTGTGTGTGTGTGTGTGTGTGTGTGTGTGTGTGTGTGTGTGCGTGTGTGTGTGTGTTCTGTAACATTAAGCTTCATCCTTAGTAGGTAAGATGTTTCATAAAGAGGTTTCTCCCATTCGTCATTGTGAGCATCGTCCCAGAGCACATTGTTTCCATCAAAACCATGGTTCATCCTTATTTCCTTTCTTCCGTGTAACTATATCCATATGGCTAAGTGCTTGCTTTTCATTTCTTTATTTACCAAAATAATGTGGATCAGTTACTCGTTATTTAACACATACATGCACTTAGAGCATCAAGATTGTTTTGTAGGCATGACTGTTGGTTAAGCATATTTTGTAAGTATATTTATGCGAAGTGACGTAAAACCACATAGTAAAATACCTGGACAAATTCCCGAGAGTTAGGAAACAAAGTCTATGTGGCCCAACGAGGTTACACTAAAGAGCTAACTCCCCCGCCACCCCCTATAAGGCACCGTCGTGGGCGGAGATTTAATTCTTGACTACATGTTAATACCATGTCCAACCTCCATCTGCTGCTATAATTTCATGCAATCTGGTGGGCATGGAATCTACCAGATTGCTGCAGAAGTTCGGCCTCCTCCTTATTCCCTCCCACACATTATGTGCGTGTCTCCTCACTGCCTCACTCGTTTTCTCTTCAACATCCCATTCAACAACCATATGCGCCCATGGATTTTCTATTGCATTACAATCGACTCCTTTAGGGGGCCAGTCCAATAGAGTAATGTGCGGGTGCGCCTCAAACCAACGATAGACTTCCTGACTTGTATGTATTGGACTGCGGTCTTGCACCATACTTATAGGCTCTGGGTTTGGGATGGCATATGAGTTGCTGGGAGGATGGTATATATATATATATATATATATATATATATATATATATATATATATATATATATATATATATGCAAGTGAATCACTGTAGGTGCGCGTGATCCAGGTATATGCTGATAACCACAAGGAAAAAGAAAACACAAAGTTCCCAAGCGCTTTCGTGTAATTCACATCTTCAGGGGTGAGTACAGACTAAGGAGAAGTACATAACAAGGTATAATATACAGAGGAGGGGGTGATCAAGTCCACAATGGTCAGGTATTAGGTAATGACCCTACTAATCTTCAAAAAGCACCGCGCCGCTTTCCAGCGGCATCTCTGGTATTTAAGTGAGGAGTCAGTAGGAGTCAGTAGCTCTGGCTCTCTTCAGTGATAGTGTTTCGTATGCTGAGAAAAGAGAAATCCTTGAGTCAATGAAGGGAAAGAACGAGAAAAAGCAATGTCCAAAGAAGCTGAAAGCGACAGAAGAGGAAATTCCATCACTGGAGCTTAAAAACCTTGCATCCAAAAATACTAACTGCTTCTTTCAAACCACACTCCTGGATTCTGGATTCGTCTCCAAAGATCCAAGCCAATGGAATGACGATCCACAGTTCCTTCAGTCAAGGGAAATTCTACAAGAGTTGCAGGTGGTGAATAATGTGGCCGAAAGAGCGGTGAAGCTTATCCAGGACTACAATTCTTCAATTACGAAAAGAGAAGATCAAAAGCAGTACCTGCTTCAGGTGGTCACCACACATCGACGTCAGTATCCCAACATAAAGAAGGCTAATCTTCTGTGATATATGTTTCTCTTACATGTGTTCTTTATGTTGATCTCATATTTTGGATAAAATAAACACCAACAAATATATTTAACAAATAAATCATTTGTATCTGATGTCAGGAACAAGAATTATTTTATAGAAGTCGAAAACATTAGAGAAGTAGAATTTTCGGGCCACTTGTGCATACCTTAAATGAAGATGTAATTACCTATAATTTCGCCTGAAAAATTTTTTCATGCAAAGCACGCAAATAAACATTGAGCACTAAAAATATAAAGAACTTTACTTTTTCTGAACCACCCTAATATATACTGTATATATATATATATATATATATATATATATATATATATATATATATATATATATATATATATATATATATATATATATATATATATATATATATATATTATATATATATATATATATATATATATATATATATATATATATATATATCATAACATATGCAAGGATGAATTATACGACTTACCCTTTGAGCAACCGTGTCCACACTGATACGGCAGGCCTCCCTACCTACGGCGTCAGGTCGGTCATTCCTATGTCCTTTGGTTCTTCATTTCGTAACTCCAGTGTGTGGTGCTTTCCCTCACGTCCAATGGTTAAACGAGATTTTTTACGGTATGCAATAAAATGCAATATTACAGTATATTAATATAGATTTTCCTCCATGTATTGATACTATGACTAGTTACCAAGATAAAGAGCACGGTGAACATAACATGATAATGATAGTGAAGCCTGGGAGGGTTCACATCATAACTTGTGTGTTCCTGCATATGTTGCCCCGTGAGAGTTACCGTGGGCCTCCATGTGCTCACGTGAGATGGTCAAAGTATTACACTATAAGTGTGTCAAATGAGGAGTGACTGATCCACATGTAATTTAAGGTTTTTGAAATATGTAGTTAAATTAAACACGATTTTTCATATAGTCACGCGAATGATGGGAAATAAATGATATAGATGGGGGGCGGTGGAAGCGCTATAAACGTTGTGTGGACTCACTGGGTGGTTTAGAAGTGTTTATTTCCATTCATACTTTCGTAACTACAACCTATGGTAATTTTCTTCATGTTCGTAATATTATATAATGAAGATAATGCAGAGTATAAAATGCCATATACAATATTTATACATAATATCATCTATACAGCTGTACTATGACTGTATGTGTTCATGCGTGAGTTGCCTCATGATAGTTAGAGTGGGCCCCCTTCCAGAAAGGACACTGTACTAACCTCCAGCACCGACCCAGGTGGGCTAGAGAATATGGTTTCCGAGTGTACGTGGCAATCGAACCTGAACACAACGAGACTGAACGAGTGACTGTTTGCTCAGTGTATTTCTGCTCCCGGGTGGGGGTGGGGAGGGGTGTGTGCACTAGCATTCATATTTAGACGAAAATATAGTGCAAACTGAGAAATACCAGCATATATATTTATTAGTACTATTACTAATATAAATAATATAATGTGTTCTTGTACAATACAGTATACTGCAAACATTTACTATTTATGTTGCAATGTAAAGGACTGTAAATTTTACACTATTATTATTATTATTATTATTACTATTATTATCATAACAAATATTTGCAAGCTCAAGGGCCCCCCTGGACCCATGGCCCCGGCCCAGGCTCCTCGGGCACCGTTGTTAATGCGGCCCTGCATAATGTCACACAGTAAATTCTATATGATCAATGATATATAGCAACGTTAAACACAAGCTCAGGGTAGTTTTTTTGTGTACGTGTGCATATGGCACACGGGTGATGGTGACGCCCACTCATGGCTAAATGTCCCTGTCTTCGTGCAAACAAACATGTGACGTACAGACGACTTGCACCTTGCACACTAACACCATCTGTTGATCCCGCAGCCAACTATATGCTATGTGGCTTATGCGGTTTTCATCTTGCTTTCCCGTCTTTCTTATATAGTCTTTGGGTCAGATCAGATTCAGAGCCCAGGATGTTCCTCCTCTGTCTTGTTCTAGCTTCTGGCCTGAACAAATTCCTGTCTCTGAGCCACCATGTGGTTAAGGTTTGCCCTTTCCTGTCATAGGGAATGTTAGGTGCAGTCAGTGGTATTTATGCTGACCTCCCAATTAGGTAGGAAGTGCATTTATATTGTTTCTTGTACCTCTTATTTGTATATAAGGTAGATTTACTTTGGTGTTTCTGTTGGTCCTTTTTGCCCTGGCTATTATTCTTCGGCCATGACTGAGTGTTATGGAATACCTAAAGAGTAACTCATGAATTCTACCTTACTTAAAGCTAGCCATGGCAGACTGCTAGAAGCAGCATATCACTGTTGTCCAGCTCTGTATCTTTTGGGGTAAGCATGGGTAAGACACTGGGTTGTGATACTATGCAGATGTCTTCCAACAAGTAAATCCAAAGTTATCACCATGAATTCTTTCAGAAAACTGTTATGACTGGCTGACAACAAGCTGATATTGTATAAATATATGACCTGACCTGCTATCAGCAAACTTGTTTTGGTACCCATGATTCCGACAACCTTCCGTGGGACCCGACCAGAATTGCTCAACAAGCCACACCCAGCGACCTTCATGTCTGCTACCTATCTACCGACATCGTGTCACCCATTATCATGTATATCAGCAAACCTGCGTTGGTCATACAGTATGTTGAGGACCTGAGATAACTTCAGAGAGACCGCTGGCTGCCACTTAAATAGATAACAAAGTCCCACGGACCCACACTGATACAAGTAATTAGCCTGTCACTGAAAGGGTTAAGAGCCGCATAAAAAAAGTGTCCCCCACGAAAGACTAATAAGAAAAGTGGAGGCTCATGGAATTGGAGGAGATATTCTAAAATGGATTAGGGCGTGGTTACAGGAGAGGAAACAGCGAGTAAGTATTAACGGCACTAAATCCGATTTGAGTAACGTCACTAGTAGAGTACCCAAAGGCACGGTACTTGGACCATTACTATCTATGATATACATAAACGACATAACTATCGGCATAGTGCAACATAAGTAAGTTTGCTGATGGCACTAAAATAGGGCGTGTAATTAAATCTGACGAGGACTCCGTAAAACTACAGAAAGATCTAAACAAATATTTCACATGGTCTAAAAAATGGCAGATGAAATTTAATGTGGACAAATGTGAAGTACTTAGTCTAGGAGATGTAAACAGAGAAACCAGATATCAGATGAATAACGTTGTTATAGAGAAATCCGACTGTGAGAAAGATTTAGGAGTAATGATAAGTAGGAATCTTAAACCAAGTCTAAAATGTGTATTCTCTCGAAACAAGGAGAACAAAGTACTTCGGTTCATACAAAGGAGTGTTAGTTACAAGACTAGCGAGGTTATCCTAAAACTATATCCTACACTTGTGTGAACTCACTTAGCTTACGCAGTTCAGTTCTGGTTAACGCAGTTCAGTTCTGGTTACCATACTACAGAAAGAATATAGAATCCCTAGAAAGAATGGACGAGTTGATGGTCGGAATTTTTTCGTAAGATGGCAGGACAATAGGTAAAGAAAGCGCTTAAATTCACTATGGTAATGATATGTTTAAATAAATTAGGTCAAAAATGGAAAAAAAATAAGGGTTAAAGTTGCTAAAAAGTGAAGTGACTGCAAAAAGCTGTGATAGGTTGTGACGTCACTGACTGGGGCGCGCCGCCCAGCGGGAGGCAGCCAGCTGTAGTTTATGTGTTGTTACCAGCAAAAATACAGGATTTGTGGCCAAATACGATGTTGATATACACAGGCATACCTTATTTTTAGACTAAAATAAATTACTGCTCAAGTATCGTGGTGTGTATATACTTGCTGGGTGCCAAAATGATGCAAAAGACCGATAACTCCAATATAAAAGTTTTCATCACTGTTCTCTATTTCATGTCTGTAAAATACAAGTTTTCGTCACTGATGTCAATATTTAATGTTGTGGAAGGACTAGGGACGACCATGGCCAGGGAATGGGTTTGAGATGATCAGCGACAGATGTAATTTAATGTGCTTCATGGCTGGACGGCGGAGTTCTTGATAATACTCTACAATCATAAAGACATCTACTTTTGGTAAATTTCTTTCAGCTGCCTTAATGAATCCTGGATGTAGTTGTCCAACCTTTTCTGCTGATCGGCTCTGTTAATAAATATTATCAGATAATTAATTGTGCTTTACTGTGCAACACAGTAACACTATTTGAATATATGAATATCACTAAGCACATTAACTAATTCAATGGATATTAGCTGCCCATACTATAAATTTCTTAGTTTAAACATTCTAAACAATATCGGTCAAAATCGTTCATAACCAATCACAAACCATCAGAAAAAAAAACAGTCTGCATGTCTAAGTACAGGGATGACCAAAACATAAAATTTACCCTCTATAGCCTATCTCGAATCTAAGCATCCAAATACTTATGGTAATTAAAGTAAAATTTTACCCATTAATCATTATAAATGATGATATATCCCAGTGGTTCATTAGTGAATATTCAAAACAATAGCAGCACTATGTTGTCATGTTTACCTAGCATCAGGCATTCTCAAAACAAAGTCCAGACAATGTCATTACTTCTAAATTGACTCGTATCTCCATCCCTGTGTCGTTTGTAGGGAAGGTGGTGACGTCATTGCAAATGGTGGCCCTGTTTCTAGAGAAATAAACTTATCTCGACTATTATAGCAGGATTTTAAACTTTTATTACAAATTATATATACCGTATCACTCTACGAAAGTGGCAGAGTGTATTTCTTGTGTTTACCCAGAACCGCCAATTCGTCCATTCAGAGGAGAATGACAAGCCTAATCCCGGACATTAGGAACATTGAATACAGAGACAGGTTTGCACTCCTTGTAGAGACTTAGAGTGAGGGGCGATATGATGGATAGCTTCAAACATAGGTTGGATGGATATATGAGCGATAGGGGTTGGGTGTAAACGGGACTGCCCAGTATGGGCCAATAGGCCAGCTGCAGTTTCCTCCAGTCTTATGTTCTTATGTTAGTACTGACAAATGACGAAGAGGATAAGTAAGGAAGTGTGTAATAATTCAGAGCGTTAAGGCTATCTGATGATGTTCATCCGAGAGCGGTAGAATAAGCAGGAAATAATAGTTAATGCAAACACCAGTGTTTTATTGGTAAGTCTTGTTGGGAAGTCTGTGTGATATTACGTCATTCTAGATTATAAATTTTGGGAGGTTCATTGTTTATATTGTAACAGCATATCTAATTTATGTAACATGACATATTCTTGATTTCATTTTAGTTAATTAATCAATGTAGTCCTGAAATGTTTTATGTGTGCAGGTAATATACACTGAGGAGAAACTTAGTTATATTTGAAGGGTCATTTTATTAATAGTTAGGATGGGTATTATCTATGTCTCAGGTTAGATAAATGAATGCTGTTCACATTCTTCATTTACTTAACCAGTTTGGATAATTACTAATTATTAGATTTACCAGTCTGACACAGATTCATCTCATTGTGTACATCGGAGTCCACAAGGTACTGTGACCCTAGATGGATTCACAAAGGTTCTCACAATGATTGTACCTTAATGTCACCGAAGATGCCCGATTTAAACTAAAACACTAAAACAATTAACAAAACCACCATTCCAATTATTGTACCTTAATTAAATGTATTTTCTAAGCAACAATTAGAAGGTAGAAATTATGGGAGAAAATCTTTTCATACAGATCCTTTACCTTAACTTTGTCTGGTGATAAGGTAACGTATCTAATTAAGGCATGATTGTAACGATTTCATTAAGCTGTTGAGTTTCATCTTAAGTCAAACTGTTATTTACATTCTTACATCTTCACTCATGGAATATTCATCGAAAGAACCTGTGTGAATCAGACGATTGATTTTCTCACCCCCGCACAGGCCGGAGGGGTCAAGAGCCGCCAGGGTGTCCCGTAACCTACGCTTTGCGCTCTTCACAGCCCTCAGGGTCTTCCCACAGGCAGACAAGTTTATCGTGCTGGAGGATGACCTCGTCCTGTCTCCTGACTTCTACTCGTAAGTCCTCCTTGTTCATGTAGTCAACTATATTGGAAAGGAAAAAGCACCACTTTGTATTTTTCTGGACAGGCGTATAAAGTAGTATGATTCACATATAAATGTCTTCATCATTAATGCCAAATAAGACAAGAGAACATAAAAATGGTAAGGCAGTGTAAAGTGACGGAACTCAGCTCATTGTCGTTATTGTCACTTTAATCCTTTGGCTGGGGGAGGTTACCCTAAGCTGAATAAAATCGCCTGGCGGTAGACAGAATAAAATGGAAAGTGCGGGAAACGCAGCGAAAGAGTTAATCGAGATAGGTTTTACCCAAGGTCTACATAGAGCTTGGTTTTACACAACCACCTGTCCTTTGGTGAGAAGGTGGGTGTGTCTTTTTGTTTTTTTTTACATTTCCATACAAAATAGTAGCAGTATGATTTTCATGTTATTTAGGAGGAATGTTCATTGTAAGAACCTTCGTAAATCAGGACCGAATACAGTATAGGTAGTAGGTAGTAGGCAGCTACCAAACAGGGAGGTACTACCGCCTGGGAAGATATTGGAAGCATACTGTATTGTCTAATGGTAGACCCTGCTGCCATATGGCATCACGAAAATTGTGACCAAGTCCCAGGTTGTTGATCTGACTTCTGCCTCATTTACACACAATTGCAGGGTCTCAATTGTTTCTCTTACTATTGACAACACAACATACATACCTGTATATTTCTTCTCACTTTGATATTTTTTTCATTTATGTATTATTATTATTATTATTATTATTATTATTATTATTATTATTATTATTATTATTATTATTATTATTATTATTATTATTATTATTATTATTATTATTATTATTATTATTATTTTAGTATTTTATTTTCAATTTTGTATATTTTATTATAAATTTTATTTACTATGAATCATTATTATTATTATTATTATTATTATTATTATTATTATTATTATTATTATTATTATTATTATTATTATTATTATTATTATTATTATTATTATTATTATTATTATTATTATTATTATTATTATTATATTATTATTATTATCATTATTATTATTATTACTATATTTTCGCCCCCAGGCTGATGTGGGTCAGTGACCCTGCCCGGGTGGGCTAATCCCCGTAAAAAATTAATAAATTTAAACTATATATATATATATATATATATATATATATATATATATATATATATATATATATATATATATATATATATATATATATATATCAGTGCGCTTTCGTGTACTCACCCCTGAAGATGTGAATTACACAAAAGCGCTTGGGAACTTAGTGTTTCTTTCCTTGTGGTTATCAGCATATACCTGATTACGCACCTACAGTGATTTATTTGGCAAATATATATATATATATATATATATATATATATATATATATATATATATATATATATATAGAGAGAGAGAGAGAGAGAGAGAGAGAGAGAGAGAGAGAGAGAGAGAGAGAGAGAGAGAGAGAGAGAGAGAGAGAGAGAGAGAGAGAGGGGTTATTTATTCAATAAAATCGTTGTACTAGTTTACATGCTTCAGCATAAATATAGACGTTGCAGGTATACAGTTTACATGCAGAGTGCATGTATACAAACGATGTATGCATGTACCCCTGTACAGTAAATACAGTATAGTGTACGTACTGTACGTGTGCAGCAGTAAACAGTAAGTCGATTTGATTATGGGTAGTCAAGAAGGCCATCATATGCCATCATAATTATAATATACTAGATTTACTTCTGTCAAACAGAGAAACTCAATCAAAAATGCCAACGTAGGGAGCGAACTAGTTAACAGTGATTACAAGGATATAACATTCAAAATAGCGCTGAACGTATTTCTCAGGGAAAATTTCATTGAAGTTCTTGATTTCCGAAGTGCAAACTATGATGGTTTGAGAATATAACTGGGGAAGGAAGGATCGCGTTTGGGTGTAAGTAATTGGACTTCAAAAATTGTGAACGCAGAGGTTGATCCAGTCTTATCGGGTAATATGACCACGAGATTAGATTTTACCGCGTATATAACAAGTTTAATAATGTGTAACTTAATGCACGAAAAGCTGAATACTATATAACGTACTAATAAAAGCTAAGAGCGTGTAATAATGACCCCAAATGGATGAATACTGTAATTACTTGAAAAATATCCGAGGGCAGAAAAGGATTGTACACAAAACAGACAGGGTGACGTTTACCTCCAAGATTATTTCCCTTATTTACTCGAGGTGGCCATGTCGAGAGGAGGCCAGTGGCCTGTGTAGGTTCCCTCCATTCAACCATTGTTCTTGATAATTTTGTCGAGGGCTATTTTGAAGCCCTGTACTGTTCTTGATTCCACAGTATGAGATCACAAAGAAATGTCCACGGTTCACGTTTTCCATCCCTTCAGTATTTTGAATGTTTAAAGGAGATGTGTCATACTGTGTCTTATCTGAAGGGTTGTTAGTCCTAAGGCCCTCAGTCTACTTCGATAATCGAGATGAGATAGTTCAGGAATTATCTTAGTCGCTCAGTGTTGCACCTTTTCTAGCGATGTTAGATCTTACTGGGGGTAAGGTTTCGATGCATGTATACAGTAATCCAGACTGGGACGTACAGTTTCCCATAAAAGTATAGGTTGATGTGATTCGAGGCTTTCCAAGTAATGTTACTCGACATGTTTCTGAACGGTTGGTAGTTCTACACCCGCGACCTTTAAGCATAAGCGTCATGTCAGTCATCAACGGAATCTTACATCGAATGGAGCAAGGGAATATCTGGGAGACATCGCAAGATGTGAGAGTTCCAAGTATTGCCCTTCACAACTAGGGTATACGTAACACTAAAGTAACACGGCGTGAACCCACTGTATCCCGATGGGTTAGGCGCCATAAAACACCTGCTGCCTTCTGACTTACAACGATAAATGTCTTACAATAAATGGACGGGAGGTTCTGTTGCCTGCAGGTTCCGTGATTTGAAACTTTATTTCGGTGTTAAACCAATGCTATTTGTATAATTATCAGTAACATGGCAGATCCCATGTAGATCGATATATTGTATATTGGTGTAGCTGTTCCCTCTAATATCAAGTACAGTACAATTTGCTTAGTCACTCTCCATAAGGCAGACATATCGTAAACAACGATAGTAGGCGTATTGTGATACTCAGTATGAATGAACTCCGTTAGTACAACGACGTAATGGTGAAATATCCGTTTTAAGGTCTGTCTCGGTCTCAGTTATGAAGTTCCGAAACACTTCCATTTAATCATATTTTAATATATATTTCGAGTTAATGTAATCATCAGTCAATGGCCTTGCTTCTACCCAGTATGATACATACATTAATATAGCTTAATGGATTTCCTGTTATATTGAAATATCGGGTATGCCATACAAGGATGACCACCTCCCCCAATCCTGCCCCCATCTCTAGTAGCTGATGATGCAAATTGTAGCAACGATACTTTTGGGGGGACTTGTACAGTTGAAGGATCATTTCCCTACCCTTGTATTCAAAAGTACGCTTTATCATTCCCAAAATTTGATTTGCTTTCCTCACTGCTGCCCCCACTTGTTGCGCCGCCTTCGTTGAATGAACTATCACAACGCCAAAATCTTTCTCCTTATCGACAGTATCCAGGAAAGTGTTATTAACAGAATAGTTGTGATTAGGTTGTATCCAACGTGAGAGTGAAGGAATGAATGAGCACTGAAAACTCAGTAACAATGAATTACACATGATCTCCATTGTCAGTAAAGACCACCACCAAATTATGAAAGATTATGAATATAGTCTTTTTTTAAGCTGACGGTACTAAACTAAGAAGCCCCTCTCCCCTCCCATTTGTAGCTCATAGGTTCATACATAATGTTCGATTAATTTTGATATATTGCAAATAAATCCATACAGTATATAACTTTTAAGGATACCAGTTCTGACTCACTTTAATGGCGAATTTAATGTCCGTAAAGATATAACTGCACGGTGGTAGAGCGCAACACACATAACCTCACCAATATGTTAAGGGTGTTATCCAGTGGGACCCTATTAAACCTCACGGGTTTCCCGGTCCTCGGCTAGTAATCTGATAAGCGACGAAAATAATATTAAAAAACTTTCAAGATATGAATGGAAACTGTTTGAAATAAAGAATATTTACCGCCGAAATCATAAACAATTGAAGCTTTCGGAAAACACCTTTGTAAAGTTGTATAAGGATTATACTGAATAAACATCTCTCTCTCTCTCTCTCTCTCTCTCATCGTTGTTTTCATCCACACTATCTTCATCCGTTCATCGTTATTTTCATCCACACTGTCTTCATCCACTCATCGCTGTTTTCATCCACACTGTCTTTATCCACTCATCGTTGTTTTCATCCACACCCTCTCTATCCAGTCATCGTTTTTTTCATCCACACTGTCTTCATCCCCTCATCGTTGTTTTCATCCACACTGTCTTCATCCACACTGTCTTCATCGACACTGTCTTCATCCACACTGTTTTCATCCCTCCACTACCACTCTCACCGTCACTCTCTCTGTCACTCATCCAGGTACATGCAACAGACAGGGTGGGTGTTAGACCATGACCCGTCTGTGTACTGTGTGTCAGCCTACAACCACCTGTCCTACGCCCACACCGCCCATGACCTCGGCCGTCTCTACCGCGTCCACGGCTTCCCTGCCTACGGGTGGATGATGAAGAGGGACACTCTGGCCTACATCCTACCCAAGTGGCTTCCTAGCAACGTGGTAAGTGATTGTTGCTTCACCTTTCATGACCAAACCTAATCCACCCTAACCTAGCCAGCTTAACCTAATCTAGCTTAACCTAGCCAAAATCCTAACCTAACCAAAGCCTAACCCAACCTAACTTAATCGAGGCTATCCTTTCCCAGTCTAACCTAACCAGCCTAACCTAACCTAACCTAACCTAACCTAACCTAACCGAACCAAACCTAACCTGATCTTAACCCAGCCTAACCTAGTTAAAGCTAATCGAGGCTAAACTAAGCAAATCTAATCTGGCCTGACCTAACCTAACCAAACCTAACCTAATTTTAACCCAACCTAACCTAATTAAAGCTAATCTAAGCAAATCTAATCTGACTTAACCTAATCTAACCTAACCTTACTCCAATCTAAGAGAGCCCAGGCTCTCAATTGTCTCAGCTATGTCAATATTGTTAATATTATCCACTTTGTGTTTGTATTTTTCTGGCTAAATAAACTGTTTCAATATCAATATCTAACTAACTAAATTAAAGGGACGTCACATAACCCCACTGGCATGTGGACACGCCCTGGCTCCGATCAACCAATGCCCCGCTGTTTTGCATATTAACCTTGATAGATATAAGGCTACGGGAATAAATCCCTGATGAAAAATCTAGGGTGGAACCCCGCATCAGGCAGACATGCTTATAGAGCTCCAATAAGACCCCAACGGCGGTATAGGTGGAAGAGGTGACCAACATGGGAACCCAACGACTACACCGGCGGATGAAGGCAATGCAAGATGGACAGGCTACTTAGGCAAACTTAACAAACTTGGCTATCAGCAGTCCATTGCAACTCTCCCTCTCCCCAATCGTTCCAATTACATGCACCATTGGATCAGGAAAAGGGAGAGCCAAGATGTGTGATTGCAACCTGCGCTCCTGCCTCACCTTGTAAATCAACTCACGTGCAGCCATCATCTAGCTCACCATACCTCTCATCATCATCAAAACCCCTATACCCCCAATAGTCCTATGGTGACAGACGTGTGACGATGGGGACAGGCAGAGATGACTGTCGGGAGCCTCTAGTCACAACTCTGCACATGGGCGGCAAAGATAAGATGGTTGTTTATGCACTGGGATCTAGGCAGCAGTGCAATTCGGTCCTGTCTGTGTGACTGAGCAGCCCTTTCCAGGAGCTACTCTGCTCACCCCACATAGGGAGGGGACTAGAAAAGGTGCCCTAAACATAGCCTGCTTAAAAAAAAAAATACATGACTGGGCAACCGCAACCAGTAAGGTCATCGTAATGCAGTCGAAAACATTATCATAATCACAGATCAAAACCACACACTATACAACCTTTTATGGTCGCTGCATGAAATGTTAGGACGCTTCTGGATACTAGTACAAATGAGCATCCTGAAAGAAGAACTACCCTTGTGGCAAAAGAACTGTCTAGGTATAACATCGATATAGCAGCCATTATTGAATCACAGCTCCCAGACGAGGGTCGACTCACAGAACGGGGGTCCGGCTATACTTTCTTCTGGAAGGTTAATCCTGCTGCAGAGAGGAACCGCATTTACAGAGTTGCCTTTGCCATTCGCCAATCCATCCTACAAAGGCAAACTGAAATACCTTTTACGTTCAACGAGCGCTTTCTGACGCTTCAAGTCCCATTGAATCACTCAAGTCATGCCTTCTTAGACATTGCATATGCCCCAACACTGGATGCACAGGATGACACAAAGGAGGCCTTTTACACAGACTTTGATAGATAACTAACCTCTATCCCCAGAGATGATAATGTTATGCTCCTTGATAACTTCAATGCCAGAGTTGGCAGAGATGCTGACATATGGCAGGGAAACACTGAATAGGCAAGTGTAATCCCAACGGCCTACTCCTCCTCAGCAAATGTGCTAAACACAATCACACTATCACCAACACCTTGTTTAGGCAGGCCGACTAGTTCAAGGGTTCTAGGCAAAACCCACGATCCAAACATTGTCATCTCATTAACTTCATCATTGTCAGAGAAAGAGATAGCCGAGATGTCCTTATCACCCGAGCCATGCATGGCTCAGACCACTGTGTCACAGATCATCTGCTCTTCAGAGCCAAACTCTCCCTTCACGTCGCCCCAAAACGGAGAAGGCAATAAACCTCCAGAAGAGATTTTAATACCATGCGACTAGAGGATCCAGCGGTAGCACATGCTTTCAGAGAGCAACTCAAGAATGGGTTAATAAGCAACCCAACAACAAACAACCAAAATCCCAGTACCGAATGGGGTCCCATCGAAGTTGTCATCACAAAAACATGCAATGAGACCCTCGGCCAGATTAAAAGAAAACACCAGAATTGGTTTGATGAAAACGACCCGGAAATCAAAATACTCGTCAATAGTAAACGTCCTTCTCTCACTGACTGGCAGAACAACTCTAAGTCTGGGACCTAAGCTGATACCTTCCACGAAAAGAAAGCGGTAGTCCATCGCGAACTTCGCAAACAAATTAATGAATAGTGGAAAAATATAGCGTATTAAATGCAAAAAATTGTGGATCAACACATGATGCATGAATTTTTTAATTCCACTAACTACCCACCAGGTTCCAAAGTACCCGCAGGTGATACACCTCGGCTATCCTCCATCCCTGAATGAGGTAGCTACTGCCATCAAGCAGATGATAAACATCAAAGCAACAGGGCCTGATGGAATTCCAGCTGAGGTGTATAAAGCAGGAGGAACTCTGCTTACCAGCCATTTCCACTCGCTCCTGGAGAATATTTGGGAGAAGGAGGAAATCCCCCAAATTCTTAATGACGCCTTGATCGTCAATATTTATAAGAACAAGGGGGACCGGTCAGACTGTGGCAACTACCGCGAGATCTCGATGCTGTCTGTATAACTGGTAAGGTTATAGTCTGAATCCTCCACGACAGACTTCTTGAGGCTGAAAATTTCCTCCCGGAATCTCAATGTGGCCTCAGACCATCATTTGGCACTACTGACATGATCTTTGCTGCCCGCCAGATACAGGAAAAGTGCAGAGAACAGCATCGTGACTTGTAATTTCATTGACCTTACTAAGGCCTTCGACTCGGTCAACAGGGAAGTCCACCAAACTTCATTGCCATTGTGAGGCAACTCAATGATGGCATGAACGGTAGTGTCCTACACAATGGCACACAGTCTGAGTTCTTCCCCATTTAAACGAGGGCAAATTCAAGATGTATGTTGGCACCAACTCTCTTTTCCATCTTCTTGTCTGCCTTCATTACTCGTGCTAGTGCCACTTTAGCCGGCGGAATGGACATCCAGTACCGGATGAAGGGACTTTTCAACATAAGACGACTCCAGGCAGGAACAAAGGTGTCGGCCGCTTCCATCACTGAACTTCATTAGGCAGACGACCCCACCCTCTTCGCTCATACGAAACGCGACCTACAGGAAATCCTGAACACCTACGCAAATGCGTATGCACACTTCGGTCTTGAGGTGAATGCAAGTGAGACTCTGTTTTTCTTTCAGCTTGCCCCTGGTTCAAACACACCTCCACCATCCATCCAGATTAGCGGTAATACTCTCTCTAATGTTACCCATTCCAGTACCTTGGCTCCCATCTGTCCACCACTGCGGACATCGATGAAGAGATTCAACATCGGATCAAATGTGCACCTCAAGCCTTTGGCAGACTCCGAACCTGCGTCTTCAGCTGTAAGATGCTGAAACTATCTACAAAATTACACATATATGACAGCGAGACATGGGTCACATACAGGTGGTCACCTCAAGGCACTTGAAAATTTTCACCAACGAAATCTAAGTTTCATCTTCCGAGTTCGCTGGGAAAAAACAAGAACATATGCCAGTATTCTCGCTGAAACCAACTGGCCATGTTACCCACATGGACATAAGTAGACTGCCAAAGCAGCTACTTTACAGTTATCCAACAAATGAGAAACGTAAAACCGGCAGACTACGGAAAAGGTATAAGGATAGTCTTAAGACAAACCTGAAAATGCGCCAAATTGACCCCCTCACCTGGGAGACGATCACTCCACACTGTAACACTTGAAGGAGCACCACACGAGAAGGTGCCAATACTTTCGAGTTAACCCGACTGCACACCGAGGCAGACAAGCGCCAGCGCAGAAAAGACGCTGCCGCCGCCCCTCCCGCACTCGATGTAGCTTTCCACACGTCCAACTTCTGTGGACCGCCCCGCCGATCCCGTATCGGCCTTTCGAGTCACCTCAGAGCACACCAACGAAGGTGAGATTCTTAATAACTCATATCATTGTATCATAGCTGGATGATCCTCATACTCGATTCCAAATGAAAGCAAAGTAGTCGTACTGCTGTGGGATGGTAAACCCAACAACACCTCACTAGTCGGGAATCGAACCCTGGACCGTATATAAAAGAACACAATAATGTAGGAAACTTTAGCTGGCCTATTGGCAGCCATGTTTACACCCAACCCCTATCTCTCATATATCTGTCAAACCTATATTTGAAACTACCCAGCGTGTTCGAGTTAATGATGAAATTAATAACTTGCCCCACCCATCCACTGTTCTATCTCCAAACCAGTGTTTACCTATCTCTCGCCTAAATCTAAATTTATTTAATTTGAAACCATTGCTACGAGTTCGCTCCTGGCTGTATAGTTTAAATACCCTTGTTATATCACTTTTGTTTAGCCCTGACTTCCATTTATACACCTCGATCACCTCGCCCCTTACTCTACGTCTCTCCAGGGAGTGGAAATTCAGATGCTTTAATCTGTCTCTATACTCAAGGTTCCTAATGCTCGGGAATAGCCTTGTCATCCTCCTCTGAATTCTTTCTAGTGATTCTTTATCCAAAACTAAACCGCATAATATAAGTGAAGTCTCACAAGCGCATGATATATTTTAGGATAACCTCGCTAGTCTTGTAACTAACACTCCTTTATATAAGCCCAAGTACTTTGTTAGACTTATTTCGAGCAAATACGCATCGTTTTCTTGGTTCAAGAT